TGTGCAGGTGTCTTAGTGGGGCGGGACGGCAGCATGGGGCAGGAGCTGCCCACCTGCTCCGAGAAGGCTGGCGGGACAGATGACATGGCAGGGCTGGGAACCAGGCCCAGGGAGACGAGTTCACCACCGAAGTGGCCCCTAAACGTGCAGCGGCAGCCGCAGCCCTGCCTGCCATCCTTCATGCTGTCCTCCGGCTTCCCAGGGCCTCCTTAATGGCCCTGCCCGCCCCTAGCTGGGCCGCCGCTCAGCACCAGCAATAAACGTGGTGACGGATGAATGTGGACGAGTGTGAGGCTCAGCGCAGGCAGGAGCCCCATCTGTCGTGGCTGCTGCCCGCCCTGCCTCATCCTGTCCTCTGCCAGCCCAGCCTTGACGCCCCCACCGCCTCTCCTGGCTCCCAGGTCAGATGCAGAAGCCATTTGAAGACGCCTCGTTTGCGCTGCGGACGGGGGAGATGAGCGGGCCTGTGTTCACGGATTCCGGCATCCACATCATCCTCCGCACTGAGTGAGGGTGGGGAGCCCAGGCCTGGCCTCGGGGCGGGGCAGGGCAGCTGGGCCCGCCAGCTCCCCTCTTGCCCACCAGCCAGTAGCCGAATCCCCCACTCCCTGCCACCGTCACACAGTATTTATTGTTCCCAAAATGGCTGGGAGGGGGCCCTTCCAGATTAGGGGCCCTGGGGTCCCCACTCCCTGTCCATCCCCAGTTGGGGCTGCGACTGCCAGATTCTCCCTTAAGGAATTGACTTCAGCAGGGGTGGGAGGCTCCCAGACCCAGGGCAGTGTGGTGGGAGGGGTGTTCCAAAGAGAAGACCTGGTCAGCAGAGCTGCCCCGTGTTCCCCCAGGTCCTGGAGGTAGACTTGAGGACCGAGTTATTTCTAGTTAGGCCACGCTCCTCTGTTCAGTCGCAAAAGCAAACACTCGTGCGGCCCAGCCATGGGCCCTCTGAGCAACTGTGCAGCACCCTTTCACCCCCAATTAAACCCGGAACCACTGCTCCGCTCTCCTGTGTCTCATTTCTCCCCGGGGAAGCATAGGGGGGATGATGTCACGGGGAGGGGATCACAGCTACCCCATCCTAAGAGTCCCAGCTACACGTTCTTCCCCAAGACTCCCCCTTGCCCTGGGCCGGCACCCTGAGACCTGCACCCTGAGACCTGCTTCCCTGCCATCTCAGGTGCTTCCGGAAGGTTCATGGGTCCAACCCAGCACCTGGCCCAGCACCCACTGCAGCTGCGGTTACCATGACAACAGGGCCCTCCTGGACTGGAGGGGGCTTCTGTGGGGAGGGGGACGGGAGCAGACACGGCTTCTAGTGCTCAATTGAAGGTGCAGCAGAGGGGATCCTGGGGCGGGTGGCGGGGAGATGGGGTCCCCCGCCAGTGTGGGGGCTATGGATGTGGCCTGCCTGACCCCCATCCCCTGTTCAGTCGGGGGGCTGTGGGTCTGATGGAGAAGTGGTTATGCCTGCACGCCCTATTCCCCTTCCACTTGATGGGGACCAGCCCAGATTGTGGGGGTGCCTGGCTGGCAGAGCTTAGGGACCAGAGCAACTAAAGCCTGGCCCCAGGGGACCTCCCCTCCCACAAGCGCTGAGTTTCTAATAAAGGCCAAGCCTCATAAACAATCACCTGTGCCTGCTCCCATCTGGCTGGCTTCGGGAGCAATCGCTCACTCGCCTGCTGCCTGCCTGCCGGAGCGTTTGTCATTAGGAAGGTTTAATGGGTTTCCTCTCAGCTCCAGAGGGCTGGGGAGAGCCGGCTGCATGGCTACACCGCCAGGCAGAATGTTCTCCCGTCGCCTGGTGGAAGGGGGTTGGGAGTGAGGCAGCCGCGCCACCATTCACACCAGCAGTTGGATGTGGGGTTGGGGAAGTGACCACCCCTCCTGGAACAGTGGAGGCCCTGGTTCTGGAAGGATAGGAAATTAGTGGCTGGGGCCCAGAGGGTTTGCCGAGTTCCACTCCAAGGTGAAGAATGAGTTTTGTGTTCTGTCAGCAGCAGGGCCCAGGGAAGCGTGTGCATCGTTCTGTGTGGGAGACGCTGCCCCCCACCCGTGTGTGTGTGTGTGTGTGTGTGTGTGTGTGTGTATGTGTCTGCATTTGCCCAGTAATGTGTGGGGCCATGTGATTGGTTGTCTCTGTGTCCTGTGCATTTCGGGAGTCCCCTCGTCTAGGTGTGACCACCTGCCCCTCCAGGCACTCCCTTCCCTTGTCTGTCTGTGCAGTGGCCAAAACCCAAATGAGAATGTCGCTGTTAGGTAACCATGCCTCCAGAGCCCACTTCGGGGCCGTGATTCATTATTAAGCAGCTGTGCATTCCCTTACCTCCCACTCACCCCCTCCTGCCTAGAAACAGGGCATAAATCCCAGGCCTTTAGGATGGTGACAGTGTAGTCTTCCCTAGTGCCACTTTACAGGCACCTCCCAGGCCAGACCTGCCCCAGGGGGTCAATCTCCACATGCCCCTGGCTTCTGTGGTCGTAGGGCAGGGCTGGAGCAGGTCACCTTGGGGTAAACGGGATTACTGCCCCAGGATTGGAGTTGGCTTCGCGGTGCCCATGTCCATGATGAGAGGGGAAATCAGTGAGTTAGCAGTGGACAGCCGAAGACACATGCACACAGATTGATCCTGGCCTGGGAAGTGTTAAGTCTGCCTGCCTATCCTTGTTTGTAACAAAAACCACAAACTCAAAAGCTCTGAGCCTGCGTGTGTGTGTGTGTGTGTGTGTGTGTGTGTGTGTGTGATCTCTCTCTGAGGACCTGGTACAGATGTGATGGACACACCCACACCCAGCCCCAATCGCGGTTTGAGAATGTGGCTCCCCAGCACTCAGCGTATTGTGGACAAAGATTGTGGACCTCAGCATCCTCAATTCTGCACCTTACTTTGGGAGAATCCAGTGTCTAAGGGCAATAAACTACCCTGTCCTCTCACTGTGGAGACTCTCTGCCTCCAAATAAATGTAAATTGGGGTGGGAGTTGGGGGGATACAGATGTTCTAGGTGTCCCGGCTTTGTGCTGCTTTTCGTTTCATTTTTTCAGCCGGTACAGAGTAAGGTGCCTCTCCACGTGCTAATCCGGGAATGAATCCTTTTTCCAATGTCAAACATATTTGCTTAAATGGAAATTAATTGCTTTTCTTGAGGATTTCTCTAAAAATTGGTTTTAAATGAGTACATTAGGCAGTCCCATTTATTATTCATTGGTTTCATTCCCAATATGGCCCCAGTATCCGAGTTCCCGGAGATGCCAGCACAGAGCGGAGATGATTTAATCAGGGAAACCATTAATTAGAGATGGGGAGAGCCTCCCCCGGGGGAGTGGGGAGCACCCACTCTGTGGCCTCAGCGGGGTGGGGATCTGGGCCACTGGGGCTCTTTAAATGATGTTTCTGCTCTGGATTCAATAGGGACCAACCACTGGGGTCAACATGGGGCAGGATCACCTGGGCAGCTTCCCCTACCTTCATTCTTGGCCCCTCAGCCCCAAGGGTGACGCTCCTCATCGTTCTTGTACCCCTTCCAACTAGCCTGGCTGCACCCCTTACATCCACCTCACGCAGGCCTTCAGACAGGCCTGGCTCGTATAAAGCCTTCATCTGGTTCTTCCCCGTCTGTGACTTCCCCTCCCCTGCCTTTAGCCAGATCTCTAAGGCTGCTGAGGACTTAGCTTCTCCTTTTTTATTTTTAAAATTGAGACAAGGTCTCACTCTGTGGCCCCGCTGCAATGCAGTGGCGCTCATGGTTCATGGCAGCCTCGAACTCCTGGATTCAAGAGATCCTCCCACCTCAGCCTCCCGAGTAGCTGGGACTGTAGGCGCACACCACCACGCCTGGCTAGTTTTCTCAATTTTTTTTAGAGATGCGGTCTTGTTAGGTTGCCCAGGCTGGTCTTGAACTCCTGGGCTCAAGCGATCCTTCCACCTCAGTTTCCCAAAGTGCTGGGATTACAGGCATGAGCTGCTGTATCCGGCCTTCTCATAGTTCAGTCCCTTCCTGTCTCCCTCATACTCTTCTTTCCTGCCTCCAAAACGTCTTGTCTTTTCCTCTTCTTCCCCTCCAAGAGTTCTGGTTCCCCATCAAGGGCTATCCCTGCCCAATCCCTCTTCCAGGCAAACAGGCTCCATGTGTGGGGGGTGAGTGTGTTCAGCTGAAGGCACCTGAGTGCCCCTTTAGGCTGTTTCTAGCTTTTTTTGTGATTAGCTAACTCGGCACAAATGTGACTCGTTTAAAAACGATTTTTGAAATTACAAAGCAACAAGAGAAAAAAGAAAAAGGAAAAATTCAGCTGGGCCTTACTCTTTCATACCCAGCTTGTCAGAAACCAGCTCGATTGTTAAAAACCCATTTAAAAAATTGCCAGACTGGCCGGGCTCAGTGGCTCACGCCTGTAATCCCAGCACTTTGGGAGGCCGAGGGGGGCGGATCACTTGAGCCCAGGAGTTCAAGATCACCCTGGACAACATGTCGAAACCCCCATCTCTACTAAAAATACAAAAATTAGCCTGGCGTGGTGGTGCGTGCCTGTAATCCCAGCTACTCGGGAGGCTGAGGCACGCGAATCGTTTGAACCCGGGAGGCGGAGGTTGCAGTGTGCTGAGATCATGCCACTGCACACCAGCCTGGGTGACAGGGCAAGACTGTCTCAAAAAAAATTTTTTTTTTCCAGACCACTTAGTAATGCATCAAGAGTGATCAGAGAGTGGCAATCCAGTGACGGGAGAATACTCATTTGAGACCAGTTTTCATTGTTGTGCTAGAATTCTCGGTTGTTTTGATCAAACTGCTTTTAAATGAATTGCTTTCCATCAAAACAGCTTGGGATTGGGTCTCCTCACCCATCTCTCCAAAGGGCTGGCCCTGGGGAACCCCTTCCCCTCAGTTTGCTTAAGCTCAAGTCATGGAATAAGGGGAACCTCACTGGAGATGGGTCTCCAGGCTTGGACTTTGGGGCCACCTCCACCTCTGCCCCTGTTGGACACACAGAGTCATCAAAGCATCAAATGTCAAAGGTCCCGTTTATTCCGGCAAACCGGAAAGAAAAAGTGTAAATAAAAAAAGAAACAGATCCATGCACTCAACTCCTGGGGGTGGGGGTGGAAGTGAGGGATGAGGAATGGGTGGGAAGCAAGGAGGGAGGGGTGGAAGGACAGAGAGAGTGAGAGAGACAGAGAGAGGCAGAGACAGGGAAAGAACTGGAGAACCAGAGCCATAAAAAGAAAAAGACATCCATAAAAAGGCAGAAAGAAAGAAGTGTATTAAAAGCAGGGATCAATAAAGGAGAAGAGGGGAAATTGAGAAAATAGACAGAAATACACAGGCAGAGAACAAAAGCCCAGCAAAAAGGCGGGGAGAAAGGGCATGACAGAGACAGAGAGATCACCCTTGAGGGACACAGGCAGAATGAAAAGGGCCCCCAGCCCCCGGAGGCCCCCCAGGCAGCAGCCTGAGCCACAGCATTGGCTCAGGGGTCCCCAGAGGTGCTGATGACGTGAAACAGGGTGACATTGTAGAGCACCTGGTGACCGTTGTTCCAGGTATAGAGGGCGCGCTCCCGGGGGTTGTAATCCAGCATCGAGATGTGGGAATACTGGTTGTGGAAGGGCACGTCCGTGTACTCGTAACTGGACGTGTTGGTGAAATAGGCAAAGTAGACCTTGGCCCCAGCCAGGTGGGAGTTGGTCACGTAGAGCACACCGCAGATCATGAAGGCCTCGCCGGCGCTGCGCTTGGGGTAGCCGGTGTCCCAGGACCGCATGACCTCGAGGGTGTGCGGGTCCAGCCGGCTGACCACGATGTTGCCCGCGTTCTGGTTGGTGGTGTACACAGCCCAGAGCCCGCTCTCGTCCACCATGAAGTCCATGTCGGAGAAACCGCCCCAGGAGTAGGGGAAGGTGTTGTTGTAACCGGCGCCCGGGAGGCTCCTCTGCACCAGCACGGAGCGCGAGCGGAAGTGGTATTTGACCACCACGTTGCTCTGGTACTTGTTATAGAACAGGGAGCCGTTGTACACCACGTGGCCCGTGCCCGCCCACGGCTGGGGTAGCAGGTGCTGGATAAAGTTCTGGCCTTTGATGAAGTCTCCCAGGGTACGGAACTCCAGGACCCGGCGGCCCTTGTAATAGCCATCCATGTACCAGACCTAGGGGAACAGCCGCTGGTCACTGGGTGGGGGACCACCACCAATGACCCAAGGGTCCCAGCACCAGTTACAGCCATTAGAGATCAACGGTCACTAAGTGGTCATTAGTCATGGGAATTCTGTTGACCGTTCATTACCAATTATGGCCCTAGTGTGACCATGATCGTCTCGTGGTGACAGCATTAACCATGGGCAGTGAATTCAAGTGATGTCTTATCACTCAGTGGCTGTCCAGTGACCACTAACCACCCAATATCCAATGATCAGGGAATTCCTGGGCCCAGTGAGTCCCCAGGGGCTGCAGTTTCTTGGGGAACTGCATGGCCCCAGTGGGACCACGATCCCAGTGAGTGCTATTGGTCTTTTTTTTTTTTTTTTTTTTTTGAGATGGAGTCTCGCTCTGTCGCCCAGGCTGGAGTGCAGTGGCGTGATCTCAGCTCACTGCAACCTCCCGGGTTCAAGCGATTCTCCTGCCTCAGCCTCCCGAGTAGCTGGGATTACAGGTGCGTATCACCATGCCCGGCTAATTTTTGCATTTTTAGTAGAGATGGGGTTTCGCAATGTTGGTCAGGCTGGTCTCAAACTCCCGTCCTTGTGATCCACTGTCTCGGCCTCCCAAAGTGCTGGGATTACAGGCATGAGCCACCATGCCTGGCCTTTTTTTTTTCCTTTTGAAACACGGTCTCACCATTCTTCCCAGGCTAGAGTGCAGTGGCACAATCACAGCTCACTGCAGCCTTGACCTCCCAGGCTCAAGCGATCCTCCCACCTCAGCCCCCCGGATAGCTGGGACTACAAGCACAAGTCACCATGCCCGGCTAATTTATTGTATCTTTAGTAGAGACAAGGTCTCACAATGTTGCCCAGGCTAGTCTCAAACTGCTGAACTCAAGTGATCTGCCTGCCTTGGCCTCCTAAAGTGCTGGGATTACAGGCGTGAGCCACCGCACCCAGCTGCTATTGATCTTAAAACAGACCTGAAGTGGACAATGCTTCATCCCAAAGGACCCGGGGAACTGCAGCCCCTGGGGACTCACTGGGTCCAAGAATTCCCTGGTCATTGGATACTGGGTGGTTAGTGGTCACTGGACAGCTACTGAATGATAAGACATCACCTGAATTCGTTGCCATGGTTAACTAACCCCTGTCACCACGAGGTGACTAGGTGTGTCATTGACATTATCGCTGTCATCATGTTAACTAGCATTTGTTGTTTTTGTTTTGTTTTGTTTTTGAGACAGAGTTTCATTCTTGTTGCCCAGGCTGGAGTGCAATGATGCAATCTTGGCTCACTGCAACCTCCACCTCCCGGGTTCAAGCGATTCTCTTCCTCAGCCTCCTGAGTAGCTGGGATTATAGGCATGTACCACCATGCGCGGCTAATTTTGTATTTCTAGTAGAGACGGGGTTTCTCCATGTTGGTCAGGCTGGTCTCGAACTCCCAGCCTCAGGTGATCCACCCACCTCGGCCTCCCAAAGTGCTGGGATTACAGGCGTGAGCCACCATGCCTGGCCTCATGGATGGTTCTTGTGTGTCTAAGTGATAGGCAGTCATGACCATGGAAGCTACTAGAAGTCCAAAGGTCACTGAGCAGTGCTTGGTGGAGGAGGTCTCTTGTCCTTGGGAAGGCATTGGTCATTGGGTAGTTACTTGGACGTCAGTAGTCCCTGAGAACTGGTCGGTAGAACTCAGTAACCACTAGCCACTATACAGACACTGGAGGTCAACAGACTGGGATTCACAGGGCTGCAAAGCCCTTGGTCACTTGGGGGTTACTGGACAGGGAGGTCCAATGACCCTGGGGGATCCAGGATACTTTGGGCTACAAGACAGTCACCAGTGTGAACTCCCGGGGCACGTATGGCCAGTCAGAGGCTCTGTCCCTCCCAGGCCCTGACCCCAGGGGTGGGCGCAGTCACTCACCCGGCTATCCGCACTGGGGGCCATCGTGTCAGTCATCCAGGAGCCGAAGCGGGACCCCATGGCCCGAACGGTGATGGGGTTACTGACCCCGGTCAGCTTCCCACAGCCTGGGAGGCAGGAAAGGGGGAATAAGGATGGGGAAGGGAACAGCCCAAGAGAGGCAGGGCAAAGATGAAGTGCTATGATCAAGTTGGGAAAGTTGGGACCAGGGATGAGGGAAGACTCAAAAATCTGGTCCCAATATGTTGTTCAGTTGTGAGTGAGGGGTTAGAAGCCAAGGATAAGGGCCATTTCCAGCTTCTAGACTCAGGTGTAGCCTTAGGTAGGAAGGTCAAGGGTTGAGGTTTAGAAGTTAGAGGTCAAAACTGTGCCCAGCTTCTAGGCACAAACAGGTGATATTGGAGTTGGGTGTGGCAGTCAGAGATCAGGGGTCAGGGTCAAGGGCCAAGGCATACCCAGTTTCTGGGCGCAGGCGTGGAGCCGGGCCTCCAGGGCCATCACCCGCTGCTGCAGATCCTCGTACCCGTAGGCACCCATCTCCTCCTGGATGGTCGCCAGACTGCCGGAGAGATTCCTCACATCCTCCCGCAGGCGTACAATGGTCCGTGTGTCTGCCTTGTACTGCTCCAGGACCGAGCTCAGGGGCAACAGTTCTGTCATCCTGTCCTTCAGCTCCTGTGCATCAAGATGGAACCATGGCCAAGCCTGACCTCTGGCCTTTGACCCAGACATGACCTCAACCTCTGACTCATAACTTCACTCTTTGTCTTTGATGCACACCTGGCCCTTGGCATTTGGCTCAGACTGGACCCTAGATTCTTCCCAGACATGACTCCACTGTAGGAACTAATGGATACCAAATCCCAATCATTCGTTTGACCTCTGGTCTGGACCCAGGAGGACCCACCTGGAAGCTCTTGGCAGAGAGGGACCCATCAGCCGCCCGGAGCCGCGCATCCAGGCTCCGCATGAGGGTCTCCATGCCGCGTACATACTGGAGGTCGCGATACGTCCGCAGCTCAAGGACCTCCATGGACTGGGAGACATTCTGGACCTAGGAATGGGGACAACTGAAGGGACCAGACCTCCTTCCCCAAATCCCAACCCAGAGATGCCACAGACAAGAGCTGGCAGGGCCAGAGGCTGCGCAAACACCAGATCGACAAAGCCACCTTCTTCTCCCCTGAGCTTACCAGCAGCCTCCCAGTCGTGTGCCCAATCCATCCATCCATCCCTCTCTCCCTCCTACCCACTGGCTCCCATCTGGTCCACCCACCACCACCTCTCACCTCCTCCCTAGTCTCCCAGTTCCACCTTCATCCCCTGTAGTCAATTCGCTACACAGCAGACAGAAGGAACTTTCAAAACAGAGATTAAATCACCTTCCTCCTCCACAGATCCTGCGCTGGCTGGTCCTGCCCCGCCCCCCACCCCACCCACTTCCTCTCTCTTTGTTCTCACAGACTCTAAGCTCCTTCCCTCCGCAGGGTCTTTGCACTTGCTGGTCTCTCTACCTGGAGTGCTGTTCCCCCCACATTCCCATGGCTGGCTCCTTCTCATCCTTCAGGGTTCAGCTCCAGCATCCCCCACTCAAAGCATCCTTCCCTGACCACTCTGTCCCAGGTAGCCGCTCACTCACTCTCCTCTTGCCTGGTCATTTCTTTCCCAGCTGTGACTATGTAGAACATTCTTATCCATCTGCCTCCTTCAGGTGGGACCCTCAGAGACAGAGGCTGCGTCTAGCTTGTCCACAGCTTAACCTCCCGTGCCCAGCACTGGCCTGGAGTAGAGGCTCAGTAAGTACTTTTTGGCTGAATGAGTTAAATAAACTTCCCTTGCCCTGGCCTCTCCTGACCCAACCTGAGAGCCCCCAGCTCCCACCTCCACCTGGCTACGGTGAACTCCACCTGGGTAAGTTGAACTCCCCCTGGCTAAGGTAGACTCCCACCTGACTAAGGTGAACATCTGGCTAAGGTAGCCACCTTGTTAAGGTGAACTCCATCTCTGGCTTAAGTAGACTCTCACCTGGCTAAGGTAGACTCCACCTGGCTAAGGTGAACACCTGGTTAAGGTAGACTCCCACCGTATTAAGGTAGACTCTCACTTGGCTAAGATGAACACCTGGCTAAGGTAGACCCTCACCTGTCTAAGGCAGACCCTCACCTGGCTAAGGTAGACCCTCACCTGTCTAAGGCAGACCCTCACCTGGCTAAGGTAGACCCTCACCTGGCTAAGGCAGACCCTCACCTGGCTAAGGTAGACCCTCACCTGGCTAAGGTAGATTCCTACCAGCTTCACCTGACTAAAGCGGACTCCTCCTGGCTAAGGTAAACTCAGAGTCACCACTGGATGCTTGTTGAAATACAGACTTTCCTGTACAATTATTCACATGACACTTGGAAATTCTCAGAAACCCAGCAGCCTAATACCCACCCTGAACGCCACAAAACATTTTTTTTTTTTTTTTTTTTTTGAGACGGAGTCTCGCTCTGTCACCCAGGCTGGAGTGCAGTGGCCGGATCTCAGCTCACTGCAAGCTCCGCCTCCCGGGTTCATGCCATTCTCCTGCCTCAGCCTCCCGAGTAGCTGGGACTACAGGCGCCTGCCACCTCGCCCGGCTAAGTTTTTGTATTTTTAGTAGAGACGGGGTTTCACTGTGTTAGCCAGGATGGTCTCGATCTCCTGACCTCGTGATCCGCCCGTCTCGGCCTCCCAAAGTGCTGGGATTACAGGCTTGAGCCACCTCGCCCGGCCCACAAAACATTTTTACAGCACTCTTCCCTTCTCCACATTTTCACATTTCAGCTGCCTGAGGCCAACCGCAGTCCGAAAATATTAAGTGGGAAATTCCAGACATCAGCAATTTATAAGTTTTATTTATTTATTTATTTATATTTATTTATTTGAGATGGAGACTCGCTCTGTTGCCCAGGCTGGAATGCAGTGGCGCCATCTCAGCTCACTGCAACCTCCATCTCCCAGGTTCAAGCAATTCTCCTGCCTCAGCCTCCCAAGTAGCTGGGACTACAGGCACACGCCACCATGCCCAGCTAATTTTTGTATTTTTAGTAGAGGCTGATCTCAAACCCCTGACCTCAAGTGGTCCACGTGCCTCGGCCTCCCAAAGTGCTGCGATTACAGGCGTGAGCTACCATGCCTGGCCCAGGGGACTATTTTCTATTGACCATGATCAGAGATAGAAGGAAACTTTTATAGGAGCCTCTTGGGGTGGAGGGTGAGACCCTCCCCAATGGGCACAGAACTCTGTCTCAAAAAAAAAAAAAGAAAAGAAAAAAAAAAGCATTGAACAGATAGTGGATAAAGTAGCCATCTGGGCATGATGGCTCACCCCTGTAATCCAAACACTTTGGGAGGTCGAGGCAGGAGGATCACTTGAGCCCAGGAGATTGAGACCAGCCTGTGCAACAGAGGGAGACCCCATCTCTACAAAAAATATAAAAATTAGCAGGGCATGGTGGTGCATGCCTGTAATCCCAGCTACTCGGAGGCTGAGGAGTGGGGATTGCTTGAACCCAGGAGTTTGAGGCCGCAGTGAGCTGATCATGTCCCTGCATTCCAGCCTGGGTAACAGAGTGAGACCCTGTGTCAAAAGGGGGAAAAAAAAAAAAAGGACCTGCCTGGAGAGGAGCTGGATTATCAGCCAGCTCTGAATAATTTGCATAGCTGGATATGGCCACTGGCTGACCTGGATGGGGCTGGAGGGCGGGGTGAGAACTGGGAGATTTTCCCAGCCGCCCCCAGGGCACCTGGAAGGTTCTCACCTTCTCCATCAGTTGCCGCAGCTCCCGACTCCTGCCATCTCGAGAGCAGGTACTCTGCGCTGGGATCACAGCCGTGCAGATGCATTTCCCGTCAGGGGCCTGGGCTGAGGTGTACAGCTGCCAGCCCTCTTCTGGGCTCTGGAAGAGAGTCTGCAAAGAGATGGGCGTCAGAGACTGGGATCCCAGTGAGGGTCTCGCCTCGCCCTCGCTGGGACAGGAAGGGGGCCCGAGGAAACCACAGATGCCCTTTGCTGGGTTCCAGGTATATGCCAGTGCCTGTTGTGTGTGATCTCAGGCCCTCCTTAAGGAGTCTCATTTCACAGATGGCAAGACTGAGGTGCGGAGGGGTTGAGGAACACGGCAAGGAATTGGAGGACTCAACTGTTCTCCAAGACCAGAATTCATTCTCTCACACAGATTCATGCACACACACAACACTGTCTCCGTAACTGCCATTAGAACAGAGATCTGCCGGGCGCAGTGGCTCATGCCTGTAATCCCAGTACTTTGGGAGGCCGAGGCGGGCGGATCACGATGTCAGGAGATCGAGACCATCCTGGCTAACACAGTGAAACCCCGTCTCTACTAAAAAATACAAAAAAATTAGCTGGGCGTGGTGGTCGGCACCTATAGGCCCAGCTACTCAGGAGGCTGACGCAGGAGAATGGCGTGAACCCGGGAGGCAGAGCTTTCGGTGAGCTGAGATCGCGCCACTGCACTCCAGCCTGGGCGACAGAGCGAGACTCCATCTCAAAAAAAAAAAAAAAAAAAAAGACCCACTCAACCCCCAAACCTGGGCCTCCTCTCTGCTTCCCCAGGCCACAGTGACATATCGGCTCTGGAGCTATCTCAGGACCACTTCATGGTTTGTTTTTTGTTTGTTTTTCGGTTTTTGGTGTTTTTTTCTTGTTGTTGTTGTTGTTTGAGACGGAGTCTCGCTCTGTCGCCCAGGCTGGAGTGCAGTGGCCGGATCTCAGCTCACTGCAAGCTCCGCCTCCCAGGTTTACGCCATTCTCCTGCCTCAGCCTCCCCAGTAGCTGGGACTACAGGCGCCTGCCACCTCGCCCGGCTAGTTTTTTTTGTATTTTTTAGTGGAGACGGGGTAGTTTTTTTTGTATTTTTTAGTGGAGACGGGGTTTCACCATGTTAGCCAGGATGGTGTCAATCTCCTGACCTCATGATCCGCCCGTCTCGGCCTCCCAAAGTGCTGGGATTACAGGCTTGAGCCACCGCGCCCGGCCTGTTGTTTGTTTTTGAGACACAGTCTTGCCCTGTCGCCCAGGCTGGAGTGCAGTGGCGCAGTCTGGGCTCACTGCAACCTCTGCCTCCCGGGTTCAAGGGATTCTCCTGCCTCAGCCTCCTGAGTAGCTGGGATTACAGGTGCACGCCTCCATGCTCGGCTAATTTTTGTATTTTTAGCAGAGATGGGGTTTCATCATGTTGGCCAGGCTTATCTCCAACACCTGGCCTCCACTCCAGCCTGGGTAACAGAGTGAGATCCTGTCTCAAAAGGAAAAAAAAAAAGGATCTGACCTCAGGTGATCCGCCCGCCTCAGTGCTGCCATTACAGGCGTGAGCCACTGTGCCCAGCCATCAGGGCCACTAAATGTTAAGTGCAACCCTGCTGTGCCCCACCCTACCTGGAGCCGCTCAGGCAAGGTAATGGCAGACAAAATGCTCAGATAATCCAGCGATCAATTATGGCTTTGTTTCCCAAGCCATGCTCCTTGCAACACTGGTAATCTTACCAGGTGTGCTGGGAAAAGGATGCTCTGTGGTCAAATAAATGTGTGTCTTACTGGGAGAAACAAGTTTTGTTACTGTGGGACTTATCAGAGCCTTAGAAATGCTAATAAGTACCAGGGAACTCTAGGCACAAGACAGTCATAAACTTCCAAACTGACTAGAAGATACCCATGAGGCAGGTGGATCACCTGAGGTCAGGAGTTCGAGACCAGCCTGGCCAACAGGGTGAAACCCTGTCTCTACTAAAAATACAAAAATTAGCCAGGCGTGGTGGCAGGCGCCTGTAATCCCAGCTACATGGGAGGCTGAGGCAGGAGAATCACTTGAACTTGGGAGGTGGAGGTTGCAGTGAGCCGAGATAGACCACTGCACTCCAGCCTAGGCGACAGAGCAAGACTCCATCTCAAAAAAAAAAGAAGATATCCATGAGAGTCTCTTCTGTCCCAGGCATAGGGTCTGGGATAGGATCAAGGAAGAGAAGGAATGAAGAAAACATCTGATGGTTGTCCATGGAGCTACTAGGAGAGACGGACATCTATCACTTAATGCCATTGATGCTTCTGGAACCACATGCTGCAGTGAGTGCTTTGAAGAGATAGTGCAGGGAGTAACAGGGGGTCTTCCCTCAGGCTGAGGGTCTCTGAGGAGGTGTCCAAGAGAATGGGCTCTTGAGATGAACTTGAGGGACGAGTGAGACAGAGGAAAAGGAGAAAGCAGGGGGCATTTCTGTCATTACAAATCCTGATCAATATCTGGAGGGGCCCGGGAATGTTGGCTCACGCCTGTAATCCCAGAATTTCGGGAGGCTGAAGTGGGTGGATCACTGAAGGCCAGAAGTTTAAGACCACCCTGAGCAATATAACAAGACCTCATCTATACTAAAAATTAAAAAAAAAAAAAAACAACTAGCTGGATGTAGTGGCATGCACCTGTGGTCCCAGCTACTCAGAAGGCTGAAGCAGAAGGACTGCTTGAGCCCAGGAGATCGAGGCTGCAGTGAGCTATGGTTGTGCCACTGCACTTCAGCCTAGGCAACATGGCAAAACCCTGTTTCTACAAAAAATACAAAAACCAGGCATGATGGCACACACCTGTGGTCCCAGCTACTCACATGGCTGAGGCGGGAGGATCGCTTGGGTGCAGGAAGTCGAGGCTGCAATGAGCTATGGCTGTGCCACTGCACTCCAGCCTCGGTGACAGAATGAGACCCCATCTCTTAAAAAAATAAAGAGGCCGGGTGCAGTGGCTCACACCTGTAATCCTAGCACTTTGGAAAGCTGAGGTAGGTGGATCACCTGAGGTCAGGAGTTCGAGACCAGCTTAGCCAACCTGGTAAAACCCTGTCTCTACTAAAAATACAAAAATTAGCCGGGCATGGTGGTGGGCGCCTATAATCCCAGCTACTTGGGAGGCTGAGGCAGGAGAATCGCTTGAACCCGGGGGGGTGGGGACGGCAAGCCGAGGTTCCAATGAGCCGAGATCACACCACTTTACTCCAGCCTGGGCAAAAGAGCAAAACTCTATCGCAAAAAAAAAAAAAAAAAAAAAAAGATGTGGGGGAACGTGAGGGTTGTGGGGTAACTGGCTTGGGCTTGCACATGTTCAAAACCTGAAGTCTTTGCTTAAGGCCTGAAGGAAGTGAGGGAGGAGCCATCTGGATGTCTGGGGAAGGGGTTCCAGGCAGAGAGAACAGCAAGTGGAAAGGCTCTGAGGCAGGACCACGCCTGGTGTGTTTGTGAAACAAGGAGGAGGCCCACGTGGCTGGAGCAGATTGAGTAAGGTAGGTGGAGGCAGATGAGGGAAGGGAGGTGATGGGGCAAGGCCTTGTGGGAAGCAGTGACGGCTTCGGGTTCTGCTCTGAGGAAGGTGGGAGCCATGGAGGGCTCTGTGCAGAGGCGGGACGTGACCTTACTCGTGTTCACAGCGACCTCTGCCTGCTCTAGAGGATGAGGGAGGGAGGCCAGGGCAGGGGTGACTGCACGGATCCAGGCAGGCGATGATGGGTGGTGGCCATAGAGGCGGTAAATGGAAGCTTCTGGTCCTATTCCAGGATGCATTCTGACAGGCATGGAAGAAATTCTGATTAAAAAAACCCCCAGTGTTTTACAGAGAAACAAAGCACCACAATCATTGATCGTTTGCACAGCCGTTACTAGATCTCCCAGCAGAATCGGTGCCGTGAGCTGCAGCACAGAGAAACCAAGCTGTGAATTATGAGCAATCCCAGGGACTCCAACTATTAGCCCACCTTTTTCTCTCCCACTCAATCAAGTCTTTTTTTTTAAGCCTTATTGGAATATGAGCAAATGATATAATTGTACAAATTGTACAGATGAGCTTGACTCCCCCACTAATCTATAAGGAAAACAAACCATTCATAAATGCCAGCTGAAACTATTTTAGTCATTCTTTGAGCCTTTGTACACCCTTCCTAAATGGGGATAACCCCTTTGTAAGTTGCACATCCTCAGCCCCTGCAGAGAAGCACAGTAACTCACTTTCTCCGCCTTCCTTGTATTCAGGTAGGAGCTGGGTGGAGCTAACATTCACTGCAAGTGTGCCCAGGATTGGCCACAGCCAAGAGCTTTCTCTGGTGGTCAGACTCCACCCTGCCCTTGCATGGGGCCAGCAGAAAATACACCCAGCAATCCTCAAAGATGACCCACAGGCATTAGTGATTAATACCACTCCTCTTGCCTCTCCAGTGGGAAAGAACTCGAAGGTGTATGTTCCATGAAATCTCCCAGAGGAACCCATTAAATTTGCACCTCAGTTGTCCACAGCAGCAACCTGCTTCTTACTTCTCTTTTATTTATTCACTTATTTTATTATTTTTTATTTTTGAGACAGACTCTCGCTGTGTTGCCCAGGCTGGAGGGCAGTGGTGCGATCTTGGCTCACTGCAACCTCCACCTCCTGGGTTCAAGCGATTTTCATGCCTCAGCCTCCCGAGTAGCTGGGATTACAGGTACCTGCCTCCATGCTTGGCTAAGTTTTGTATTTTTAGTAGAGATAGGGTTTCACCATGTTGGCCAGGCTGGTCTCGAACTCCTAGCCTCAAGCTATCTGCCCACCTTGGCCTCCCAAAGTGCTGGGATTGCAGGCGAGAGCCATTGCGCCTGGCACATTTATTTATTTTTTTAAGATAAAAAAATAAGACCCAGGACTGAGTCTTGCTGTCGCCCAGCACTGGGTCTTGCTGTCACCCACCACTGGAATGCAATGGTGCAATCCTAACTTACTGCAGCCTCAAACTCCTGGGTTTAAGCCATCCCCTCCCACCTCTGCCTCCTGAGTAGCTGGGCCTACAGGCAGGTACCAACACACCCAGCATTTTCTTTTTTTTTTTTTTCCTTTTGTAGAGACAGAGTCCCACTTTGCTGCCCAGGCTGGTCTTGAACTCC